AGAAAATGGAGGAGCCGGAGAAGTGACTTGCCCTAGGATCCGCGGGTGACTCAGCCACAGAACACCTGGGTGTGTATGACTTAGTCCCCCCGCTGCCTGGCTGGCCCTGGGACAAGTTGCTGAACCTGTCTGGGTCTGAGTGTTCGACTCATTGCTTAACCTGGGACTCATAACTTGCACCTAATTCTCAAATAAAAAGGGTGTGTCACCCCCCAAAGGACAGCAGGTCTCTTTCGATCTGGGCCCATATTGACCCCAACAATGGTCTTTGGTCATCCCTTTGGCTGCCTCTGACCTTCCCCCTGCTTCTAGAGCAGTGTGCCCAACACTCACTCATGAACTCTGAAGCTTGGACAGGCTTTCCAGGATGCCAGGGAACAGATAGGGCAGAGCAGAAAAAACAGACATTTGTTCTCCCAGGGCAGGGACTGCCAGGGAATCAATGCCCTTTCATCCACCCCTTTAGTTGCACTGCCTGGCAGCTAAAACCCAGATGCTGTACCAAGGGATCGTCCTGTAAAGGATTCCATTCGAGAATCAGATGCAAGTTATGAGTTTCGCATTAAGAACTGAGTTGGTGCCTATAATCCCAGCACGTTGGGAGGCCAAGGTTGGGGGAATCATTTGAGGCCAAGAGTTCCAGACCAGCTTGGCCAATATGATGAAACCCTGTCTCTAGTAAAATACAAAAATTAGCTGGGCATGGCGGCAGGTGCCTGTAATCCCAGCTACTTGGGAGGCTGAGGCAGGAGAATTGCTTAAACCTTGGAGGCGTGGGTTGCAGTGAGCTGAGATTGTGCCACTGCACTGTAGCCTGGGCAACAGACCAAGACTGTCAAGAAAGAAAGAAAAGGGGGAAGGGAAGGTGGGGGGAGAGAGAAAGAAAAGAAAGAAAAAAGGAAGAAAGAGAAAGGAAAAAAGAAAAGAGAGAAAGAGGGGGATGGGGAGGGAAGGAGGAAGAGCCGGGTGCAGTGGCTCACACCTGTAATCCCAGCACTTTGGGAGGCTGGAGGTGGGTGAATCACTTGAGGTCAGTAGTTCAAAACCAGCCTGACCAACGTGGTAAAACTCCGTCTCTACTGAAAAAACAAAACAAAACAAAATTAGCTGGGCGTGGTGGCACATGCCTGTAATCCCAGCTACTCAGGAGGCTTGGGCAGGACAATCGTTTGAACTCCGGAGGCGGAGGTTGTTGCAGTGAGCCGAGATCGAGTCATTACACTCCAGCCTGGGCAAGAAGAGTGAAACTCTGTCTCAAAAAAAGAGAGAGAAGAGAGGAGAGAAAGCGAGGAAGGAAAAAGGAAAGAGAGGAAGAACGGAGGAAATAGAGTAAGAAAGAAAAAAGAAAGAGAGAGAGAAAGAAGTAATTGAGTTGGGCGGTCAGACCTAGACAGGTTCACCAACTTCTCCCAGGGCCACCCAGGCAGGGTAGGGACTGATGGCTAGGTTTTTGGGCTGGCTTTTTATTCTTGAGACAGAGTTTTGCTTTTACTGCCCTGGCTGGAATGCAATGGTGGGATCTCAGTTCACTGCAACCTCCAACTCCTGGGTTCAAGTAATTCTCCTGCCTCAGCCTCCGGAGCAGCTGGGATTACAGGCATGTGCCACCGTGCCCAGTTAATTTTGTATTTTCAGTAGAGACAGGGGTTACTTCATGTTGGTCAGGCTGGTCTCGAACTCCCGACCTCAGGTGATCCTCCCGCCTTGGTCTCTCAAAGTGCTGGATTACAGGTGTGAGCCACTTCGCCTGGTCTCTTATTTTTTAGATGGAATCTTGCTCTGTCGCCCAGGCTGGAGTGCAGTGGCCCGATCCTGGCTCACTGCTACCTCCCTCTTCCGTGCTCAAGTGATTCTCCTGCCTTAGCCTCCTGAGTATGTTTTTCTATTTTAGGAGAGACGGGGTTTCACTGTGTTGCCCAGGCTGGTCTTGAACTCCTGAGCTCTGGCAATCTGCCCGCCTCGACCTCCCAAAGTGCTGGGGCTGGCTTCTTGCTGGTGTCCTCTGCACTCTGCCAGAGCCACTCCAAATGACATGGCCCAAGGCCATCTCCTTCAGAGGCCAGATGTGTGCATGAGGTGGGTGAATACTGTTATATCTATTCAGCATACTTTTCCTGAGCATTTACTAAGTGCCAAGCACTGTTTTAGGGACTGTGGATATTCTACAGTGTACCTGGGAACTGCCACAAAGGGCATGACTGAGGGAGGTAAACTGAGGCCCACAAACTGAGGCTAAGTGACTTGTTTGCTTAGTTGCTTGTTGTCTGTATTGTCTAAAAGTTGTGTGGGAGGCAGAAACCAGGGTGGTGGTGGTCATCACAGGATCCTTGGTACACAACAGACATTAAACAAATATGAATGGGCCGGGCATGGTGGCTCACGCCTGTAATTCCAGCACTTTGGGAGGCTGAGGCGGGCAGATCACAAGGTCAGGAGTTCGAGACCAGGCTGATGAACATGGTGCAATCCCGTCTCTACTAAAAATACAAAAATCAGCTGGGCGTGGTGGTGTGAGCCTGTAATCCCAGCTACTCAGGGGGCTGAGGCAGGAGAATGGCTTGAACTCGAGACACAGGTTACAGTGAGCCGAGATCAGGCCATTGCACTCCAGCCTGGCAACAATAGGGAAACTCAGCCTCAAAAATGACTGAATAAACTCTGATGAAATCTGCAGTTAGTCCCCTAGTTCTGAGTCCGCCAGGGCTGGCAGCTCTGACAGATACACCAGTGCTACCATGAGGTCCAACCATACAGTGAAGCCTTCAGAGGAGGGTGGAGTCTCACTTCCTGGGTGCATGACTGGGCAAAACACTTCCCTTCTCGGAGCCAAGTGAGTTTTCCACGCTGTGACATTTAGGTAACTAAAGGCCTCTCCCTGTGGGCAGTTCTCATCAGAAGCTGTCATCACAACCCAGTTAAGACTTTACAAGTAGCTCCATCAGTGGCTGTGAAAGTGCAGAGTGGGGAAGGTGCAGACTATACAAAAATAAAGTAAAAAAACGTGTGCACTGCTACTTCCTGGAGGGTCCGCATACCTCCAATGGGTGGGGGATGATCACTGTTTTTTTTTTTCTTTTTTGAGAGGGAGTCTCACTGTTGCCCAGGCTGGAGTGCAGTGGCATGATCACAGCTCACTGAAGCCTCAACCTCCAGGGCTCAAGCGATCCTCCTGCCTCAGCCTCCCAAGCAGCTGGGACTACAGGTATATATCACCATGCTGAGCTAATTTTTGTTGAGACAGGGAGACAGGGTCTTGCTATGTTGCCAACGCTGGATAAATTCTTTTCTTTTTTTTTTTTTTTTGGAGACACGGTTTCGCTCTTGTCACCCAGGCTGCAGTGCAATGGTGTGCTCTCGGCTCACTGCAACCTCCACCTCCCGGGTTTGAGCGATTTTCTGCCTCAGCCTCCCAAGTAGCTGGAATTACAGGCCTGAGCCTCTGTGCTGGCAGATAAATTCTTCTAAAAAATATATTGCAGTAGATATTACGGGTACCACCGCCAAAATACTAGAAGACATGTTAAGGCTTAAAAAACAGAGGCCGAGGCTGGGCATGGTGGCTCACGCCTGTAATCCAAGCACTTTGGAGGCCAAGGCGGGCGGATCACCTGAGGTCGGGAGTTCAAGACCAGCCTGACCAACATGGTGAAGCCCCGTCTTTAAACAACAACAACAAAACAGAGGCCAAGCGTGGTGGCTCACGCCTGTAATCCCAACACTTTGGGAGGCCCAGGCAGGCGAATCACCTGAGGTCAGGATTTCCAGACTAGCTTGGCCAACATCGTGAAACCCCACCTCTACTAAAAATGCAAAAAAAAAAAAAAAAAAAAAAAAAAATTAGCTGGGGGTGGTAGTACGCGCCTGTAATCCCAGTTACTCCAGAGGCTGAGGCAGGAGAATCGCTTGAACCCGGGAGGCGGAGGTTGCAGTGAGCAGAGATGGCGCCACTGCACTCCAGCCTCGGGGACAGAGCGAAACTCCGTCTCAAAACAAAACAAAATACAACAACAACAACAAAAGCAATCACAGATCTGTCTCAATTACTCATTTATTCAACACGAATTCACTGGGCACCTACTGTGTACAGATTTTTCTAGGGCATTGGGGAGACAGAAGGGAGTAAGGGAACAGAATATAAGTCTCCCTGGGCTGCGAGCCCCGGCAAGGCAGGTCCGGGGGTTGTGCCCTCGCTGGGCCCCCAGCACCGCGCAGCGCACACAGTGGGCGCTCACCAAGCGCTCGCTAAGGGAAAGCGTGAATCCCAGTGTCCCGCCAGCAGGGCGTTTACGGCCTGATGGGGCGGAAACGGACCCGACACCACCACGGCGTCCTGGGGCTTCTGGGAATCCCATCAGCGCGGCCGGAGCGGCCTGGGACAGGCTCCGAAGCAGGTCCGACCCGCCTCCCCGGCGCCGCCGCGGCTCGGCGGAGACCCACTGAGGTGAGTGATCGACCCACGTCCGGGGTCCCGGCCTGTCACCCCTTAGTCCCCGCCGCCTTCCACCCTGCCAGGCTCCAACTGGGGCTCCGGCGCGGTCCCAGCTCCGGGGGGACTCCCTTCCATCTCCTCCATCTTCATTCTCAACTCCCGCTATCTTTTCGAACCTGGGGCGCTCCCCTTGGGCGCGTCCTCCCGCCGGGCGACCGTCCTCCGCCTCGGGGGACGCGCCTAGAACGCACGGCGCCCCCTCCCCAGCCGGACCCAGGGTGTGAGACCGCGGATCCCTTCAGTTCCCCTGCGCCTCAGCACCCGGATCGCTGCTCGAGGCAGTTGACATACTACACCCGAGCCCAGGCAGGCGCGCCCCCGAACCCCCGGGACTGGGGCTGGGGGCGGGGACGGCGCCGGCGCGGAGGGCCCAGTCCTCGGGCGTCCGCAGCCTCCCATTGGCTCCTGGGCCCGCCGCTCGCGCCTGGCGGGGCCGGGGCTGGTCCGCCCGGGCGTGGGGCGGGGCCCCTCGAAGCCCCTCCCCCGGCGAGGGAGGAGGGAAGAGGAGGAGGAGGAGGAGGAAGAGGAGGGGGGGCGGAACACAAAACCTGCGAGGTTTTTTTTTTCCGTTTGCATTTAATTAAAAAAAATTTTTTTTGCATACCCGAGGGACGCTCCCCGGCGCGGGCGCGGGCCCGGGGCGCGCGGGCCTGGGCGCGGGGCGGCGGCGAGGGCCCGGCGGCGGCTGCGGAGCGGCCGCCATGCGATCAGGCACTGCGCTGACCGGCCCGGCCGGCCGGCCCCTTCTGGGTCCTCCCTTTGCAGCCCGTGCGGGGCCGTCTCGGAGACCCCGCGCCGACGGCTGCTCAAACATCAGGGTGAGTTTCTCACAATGTAGCAATTTCTCTTTAAATCTCTTAACTCTCTCTACCTGCGAGTCGGGGCTGTGACAGGGCGCAAAAGCGAGGGGGGAGTGGGGGTTGGCGGCGAGGGTGTGTGTGGGGGGAGCCGGAGCCGGGGCCGAACCCACCCCCGCGACACTCACACACTCAGCCCCCCAGCCGGGGCGCAGCGCCCGCTGCCTCTTCTTTTTTTTTCTGCTCGGCGCCCACCGCCACCGGCACCCCCCCGCCCCGCGTCTCTCCCACCACTGCCGCCGCCCCGATCCTACGGGGACCCCCCAACCGGCTTCCTTGCCCAGACCCGGCGCCCGGTGCCTCCCCGGCCCTCCCGCCGGCTGCCGGGGATACAATGGAGCGACGGGGAGAGGAGACCTAACGTTCCACGGGGGGAGGGGCGCGGAGACCCCCTCCCCGGCCTGGCCCCCTCCCCTCGCCCCGCTCCCCGCCTTTCGGGGAAGGCGAGGGCCACCGGGCAGCGGGCGGCGATCTCCCTGCCCTAGGCGGCGAGCCTGCATCTCCCCGCCTCGCTTGGCCCCTGCGCCCCCTCCCCAAATCCCTCCCGTGGGTGTCGCGGACACGGGGGACCCCTGAGAGCTGGGGAGGGATGGATGGGGAAGGAGGCCACCGGGGCTCCCCCTCCGCACCGCCCCTAAACAATGAAAGGAGTTGACTTGACCCCCCACCCCCGGCAGTGGAGGGAGGTGACCCCCTCCCCCATCCCCAGCTGAGGCTCATCGCGGAGGGGGCCGTTACGGGTGTTGGGGGGGGTGAGCGCCTCTCCTGTCACCTCCCGAGGTTCGGGGCGGCCCCCCATCTCTTCCCCTTCGGCCTGGGAACAGGAGGCACCAGGCCGGGCCGGGGCACGGCGCTCGGGTGGTGACCTTTAGACAAAGGCAGCCCTTTCCCCGGGGTGAGCCCGGACGAGCTGGGCCCGCGGCCTCCCCGGGCCCCTGCGGAGGGCAGCCAGGCCGCGGGCACCCGGAGGGAGGGATGGAGGAGGAGGGAGGAGGGTTGGAGCCATCTGGTTTTCCCATCCCTGGCTGCCCCTCGGCTGCTTCCCCGACTCCTGTCACGGGCGGCCGCGGGGAGACGAGGGACCAGGGACTGCCTGGGCCTTGGTGCGCGGCCAGCCGGGAGGACCGGGCGAGGAGCCGCGGGAGGGCTCGGCTCGGCCTGGGCGCCGGTGGTGGTTGGAAGGCACTAGGGCTCCTTCCTCTCCGCGCCCCTTTGTTTTGCTTCGTGGTTCTGAGCAGCTGAACTTCCCTGGAGGTGGGGTCAGAGGCCGCAGTGTCAGCCCTCCCGGGGAGGCCCCAGTGACAGGTTCTAGCTCTCTGGTGTCCCCAGCCTTGTGGGCTGCAGTCTGTGCCCAGGCCCATGTCCTGACCATCGTCCCCTTTTGTCACCCCACCCCACCCCACCTACCACCCACCCATAGTATAATACAGATCTAGGGATGGCTTTCTCTTAACACCTCTTTAAAGAGGGCACTTGTCAGGGAAACTAGAAACATCCCGGGCTTCAAGGCCTGAGATTTGGGATAAGCTCTCTGTGCTTTCCACCTCTCCCAGCACCTGGGGTGGGGGTGGGGGGCTCTGTCAACTCTGACCTGCCCCGGGTCATGAGAAAACAGGGGAGGACAACTCAGGAAGCACCCACTTCCCATGCTGGTAGAATTTTGGGGGCACGTTGACCTCCCTTGTCTTCTGTATAGCTCCCTCCACCCCCCAGATGGAAATATTAATAATAATATTTATCTAGGGAGCCTTTTTCTGCCACTGCTAAATACATTACACACTGGCCACAGTCCAAGGAGGAAGTAGAGGAGGGACAGACATTATTCCCATTTTCCAGACAGGTTCATGGAGGCTCAGAGAGGTTAAGGGGCTTGCCCAGGGTCACACAGCCCTGGGTCACACAGAGCTCCAATTCGTTACCTCCTAGAGTGTTTCCATCTCAGTTAGAAAATCTTAAGCTCTTCTTCTGTCCTACCCTTTGGCACTTTGCTTCTCTGACTTCAGTGGACCTGGTTGGAAATGTAGCTAATACCTCAAAGCAGCGGCCAGGTTTCTTTTCCCTGGGAGCTGGTTTTGGGAAGGGGTGTACTTGGAAGTGGGGCTGAGGGCAGGATCATTTATTTCACTTGTGGCTGGAATGGAGAATTGCCTGCAGGAACTGAGAATTGGAGGCCTGTGAAGAGTCGGGGAGGGGGAGTCCCAGGCCTGGCCAGTGATGGGCTTGGGGCACCTAGGAGCTGGCCCCACTGTCGTGCTCTCCTTTCTCTGAGCAGGGTACTCGGCCCCATTTGCTGCTACTAAGCCCTACCTGGAGAGAAGCTGAACTGTTTGGGACTGTTGTCGTCTGGTTGTCCCTATGCCCTGTGACCCGCTGTCACTTTGCCACATCATGGCCCTTTGATGCAGCTACTGGAGAACTTTCTTTTTCTTTTTCTTTTTTTTGAGACAAAGTCTTGTTCTGTTGCCCAGGCTGGAGTGCAATGGCGCGATCTCGGCTCACTGCAACCTCCGCCTCCCGGGTTCAAGCAATTCTGCTGCCTCAGCCTCTCAAGTAGTTGGAATTACAGTTGTGTACCACCACGCCCAGCCATTTTTTTTTTTTTCGTATTTTTAGTAGAGGTGGGGTTTCACCATATTAGCCAGGCTAGTCTTGAACTTCCAACCTTGTGATTTGACTGCCTCGGCCTCCCAAAGTGCTGGGATTACAGGCGTGAGTCACCATACCTGGCAGCAGAGGACTTTCTTGCCTGTGTCTCTTTGGCCTGATCTGCTCGGTAACCTTAGGCAGGTCATTTAACTTCTGGTCCTCAGTTTTGTCATCTGCAAGTAGGGATAATTATAGTTTCTTTAAGCGACCTGGGGGTGGGTAAAAGTATTACCCAAACTTGTCATTTATAGTTACCATTCAGCAGGCAGAGTATGCAGTGTGGGTACAGGGCAGGAATGTCAGCTGCTGGCATTGAAATTTTTTTTTTTTTTTTGAGATAGAGTCTTGCTTTGTTGCGCAGGCTGGAGTGCAATGGCGTGTGATCTTGGCTCACTGCAGCCTCCACCTCCTGGGTTCAAGTGATTCTCCTGCCTCAGCCTCCTGAGTAGCTGGGATGACAGGCACCTGCCACCACACCCAGCTAATCTTTGTATATTTAGTAAAGATGGAGTTTCACCATATTGGCCAGCCTAGTCTCGAGGTCCTGACCTCAGGTGATCTGACTGGCATTTAAGACTGGGTGCTGTGGCTCACGCCTGTAACCCCAACACTTTGGGAGACCAAGGCAGGAGGATCACTTGAGCCCAGGATTTCAAGACCAGCCTAGGCAACGTGGTGAGACCCTGTGTCTACAAAAAATGAAACAATTAGCTGGGCATGGTGGCACTTGCCTGTGGCCCTGGCTCCTTGGGGGTGCTGATGTCAGACGATTGCTTGAGCCCAGGAATTTGAGGCTGGGGTGAGCCATGATTGTGCCACTGCTCTCAAGCCTGGGCAACAAAGTGAGACCCTGTCTCAATAATAGTAATAAATTAAATAAAAAATTTAAAGGTGAATAGAGAAGGACTTTGCCCCACAAGAATTCCCTGTGGTGGGAGAAGGCCAATTGCAAACAAACAATTTCCCTCAGTGACACTACCCTCTGAGCGCTTTGGGGACTGGGGCCCTACCCCTTCAACACTTTACCCATGCTGAATACACATTTACTTGGAGGGGTGGGGGATTGGGGGCTGAGAGAGAGAGGCAGACCCCAACTCACCCGGTGTAGGAGGTAATACAGGTGATCTTGCCATTTTACAGATGAAGAAACTGAGGCCAGGGGAAGCACTTTGGGAGGCCGAGGCGGGTGGATCATAAGGTTGGGAGTTCGAGACCAGCCCGGAATATGGTGAAACCCCATCTCCGTGGCCGAGCCAGGACTCCAAGCCAGACAGCAGAGACTAGTGGTGGGGATTCCATATTTGTCAACAGAACTGGGGAGATGGTACTTCATGGAGTCTGATCCCAGAAGCATTGAGGGACCCCTAATCCCTGCTGCCATTGCCCCCTACTTTAAGTGCAGATATTTCCCTTGGTGAAATGACAGGCATAAGTAATAATCCTCGGGGGTGGTGAGCAGGAGGAGAGGGGCTCAGGGGAACTCCCAGATCTCTCAAGGCTGAGTGCTGGCTGAATGTAGGAACTGATCTTTTCGGAAGGTGGTGGGAGAAGTCTGAGTAAGGCCCAAGAGGGTCTCCCTGCTGACTTCCTTCCCAGAGGCCTCCGACCCTTCCCCACCCTTCCTTCAGGAGATGGGGTCTGCCCCAGGTTATGGAAGGGCCAAGGGATCAGGGCCCAGAGGTCTGGGAATGGGGAGTTCCTGGGGGTGTGTAGGGCCCTGCAGGTTCCCGTGGGCCACCTTGTAGCCCCAGGTCCAGCCAGCAGGCCAGTTCCCCGCCAGCTCTCAACCCCCACCCCCCAGGCTGCCTTGACTCCAGGTCTCAAGAATGCAGAAGGCTGCTGGTAGGGGAAGTTAATTGGAAACAGGAAAACATGGCATTCCTTTCCAGGCCGCCTGGGCTTGGAAGGCAGAGGGGACTGCCATTTCCCCTCTCCCGCCCTGCAGGGGAGAGGGGTGGGGAGCATGGTTATCTTGCCCTGGTCATAGTTGAGCCTTCTTCCCCCACCAGACACCCTCACTTAGTAGAAAACAAGAATAGTCATCCGTGCTGCGTGTCCACGATGTCAACTGCCCCCCCCCACTCCCCCAGCAGAATGAATTGCTCCCTCCTTACTCACCCCTTCACACCCCTCTGGTTTTTTGTCTCCTGTCTGGCATGGGAAGCCTTTGGTGGAGGGGTCCTTAGGGAGCGTCTCCCGGTTCTGTTCCTTGCATTCTCCTCCGCCTGGAGTGCCACCATTAGAGTTGTGTCCCAGTTGACTGAAGCTTTTGTGTCTCAGGGACATGCAAGTTTCCCCAGTGGAGAGAGAGAGTT